TGTGCATGCAGGAGGATTGCTGTGAGTCTGAGGTCAGCCTTATCTACACGATGAGTAATATGCCATCTGAGGATGCACAGCATGACCCTGTCTCAGAAAGGTACTCAAATAAATGAAAAGTAAAGATTCATCTGATTACAAGAATAAACTTGGGAGCTGGTGAGATGGCTCAGCTGGTTCAGCCCTGGGAACTCACATGGTGGAAGGAATGGACCGGCTCCAGCAGGTCGTCCTCTGACCACACACATTCTGTGGCCCATGTGCCAACACCACCTCCACCCCCAATAAATAAATAAGTAAACATTTGTTTCATAATAAGAAGCTAGTAACTGGACAGGGTCACTAAGTAATTGTAACAGGAAGCATGACTGGGCCTTGCTCTGTTGATGGGGGTCCATGCAGAAAGACCTCCCGAGGAAGCTCATTGGCCTAGTCTCAGACACTGTGGAGAGAGTGAAAAGATGCATCTCGGCTGCCACTGCGCCTCCACCTCTCTGCCGTTTCCCTCCCACACTCTGGTTCCAGGCCAGGCTCAACACCGAATACAGCATCAAACCCAGGGTGTGGGAAGGAAGCAGACAGAAGAGAAGAGGGGCAGAGGTGGCAGAGCCCATCACCAGAAGACCAGATACATAACCTGCAGTCTCAGGGCAAAACCAGCATCCAGTGGATCTCACGAAACTGAATAGTCTTGAGCCAAGTGTGACCTCACCATTAATGTAAGACATTGTACAGAGAATTGCATGGTCCTGAAGACAGCTCAGCTCCAGTTACAAGACCCTGGTCCTGGCTAGGGTGTGCAGGCTTGCACTCACAGGGGGTGGGGTAGGAGTAGGCTGGATTTACAACTCTGCAGCACAGTTCACTCAGAACATTAAAATAATCTAAGACAAGAAACAAAACAACCCTGCTTTCTACATTTATCAATAGATAAAATCTCAGGTACCTCAGGCTAGCCTGAGAATATTTGGATGAGGATAACCCTAACCTTGAGGACAACCTTGAACTTCTGACCCTCCTGCTTCACTCTTCCAAATGGGGTTAACAGGTGTGCACCCCAACAGCAAGTTGCTGGGGTTAAAGGTGTGCACCCCAACAGCAAGCGTGCTGGGATTACAGGCATGCACCCAACAGCAGGTGTTCTGAGGTTACAGGTGCATACCCCAACAGCAAGCGTGCTGGGATTACAGGCATGCACCCAACAGCAGGTGTTCTGAGGTTACAGGTGCATACCCCAACAGTAGGTGTGCTGGGGTTACAGGTGTGCATCCAACAGCAGGTTTACTGGGGTTACAGGTGTGCACCCCTACAGTAGGTGTTCTGGGGTTACAGGCACACACCCCAACAGCAGGTGTGCTGGGGTTACAGGTGCGCACCCCAACAGCAGGTTGCTGGGGTTACAGGTATGCACCCCAACAGCAGGTTGCTGGGGGACAGGTGTGCACCTCAACAGCAGGTGTGCTGGGGTTACAGGTGCGTACCCTAACAGCAGGTGTGCTGGGATTATACAGGTGTGCACCCCAACAGCAAGTTGGTGGGTTTACAGATGCACACCCCAACAGCAAGTTGCCGGGGTTACAGGTGTGCACCCCAACAGCAGGTGTGCTGGGGTTACAGGTGCACACCCCAGCAAGTGTCCTGGGGTTACAGGTGTGCATCCTAACAAGCAGATTTGTGGTATGATGATGGACCCAAGGACTTCATGTGTGCCAAGCAAGCTCTTTACCAACTGAATTACATCCACAGCACCCTCCATGTTCCCAACTCCATTTTGAATTGTTTAAATGCGAACTGGCACCTTAGATGCTGGTGTGGTCCTCAGAAGCATTTGGGGGCTCATGTGACATTGTTAAAGCTTGGGGAAAGTGATATTTTCCTGAGAGGAGGCCCTTTCCCTCTTGGTCTCTCACTCACGCCTTCAGGTTGGTGAAGGGTGGTGAGCTCTGGCTCTTGATTTTACTCCTGGTCATGAAAAGTCAAGGATTTGTTACTTGGGATCCTGGCATCCATTTGGTCCTAAAACTTAAAACCATAGGTTTATACAGCAGGTACATACATATCCCTAAGCATTGGAACCCAAACATCCACCCTCCTGCGCAGCACCTACCTGAGACACTAGGAGGCAGTGTTAGCCAGTTGTCTGTTCCTAAGGCTCTGGGCAAGCGTGAAAGGAACACTTCTTAATTGTCCATACATTAGCTTTAGGAAGGGCTATAAGAGAAAAATGCAAAGATACTTCTAATTGCCATCATATAACTTAAATCCTAAGATAAAATTATGGTCACAAGACAGACTGAAAGAGAAGCCAGTGTGTGGCTGAAGAAGAGAGCTTTGATTGATTGATTGATTGATTGATTGATTGATTGTTGATTGATTGTTGATTGACTGATCCAGGTAAAGTCAAGGGACAATACAACCTGGGCCACCGGCTGTGGTTCCATCTGAATCCTTTGGCCTGGAGCTCAGAAGCTTTCCTTTGCTGCAAAAAGGAAGTAGAAGTGAAAATGAAGAAAGCAGTCAAGAGTAGCGCTCAACAGGGTCATCCACCTGAGATTAGCACAGACCTCAGGAGCAGTTCTGGGCCACCCTTCACTGTCCCTCCAAGTCTCCCTTCTGGAGAGGTCCAGGACTTGTAGAGATACTCCTGAGTTCCTAAGATGAACAGAGAAGAGCTATGGCAGCCCCAGTAGACTGTAGAATAGATAAGAATGACGGTGGTTCGTGTTTGAAAAAGTAGCGTGAATATCAGTTCAGGTCACAGGATCTCCAGGTCCCGGAGGCAGAGACGTGAACAACCCAGCTGCTCTAAAAGGTGGTACCCGAGGCATGTCAGGCAGTTCCGGGGGCCTTGGGTAAATTTCCATATTTCTGTCTGGAGAGATGAGTTAGAGCTACCTGTAATCCTAGCACTTCAGAAGTTGAGGCAGGAGGATGACTTTGAGTTTGAGGTCAGCCTGGGGAGGGGCGATTATATCTAAAATGACAAATCCAGCTCATCTGAAGATGTGTGGCTCAGAGCATTCACATCCGAATTCCACCTCCCTCTTTTGGGGGCTGTGTGTTATCAGACAGCTCAGTTATCCCTTTGGAGTCTGCCTCGCATCTCTAAAATGGGATTAATGTGTGGACGACACAGATCATCTATGCACAGCATTTGCCATAGCAGCAAGCATATGGAAGACTAGCTGGTTGTAATAGTGATTATTTTGATGATGCTTGTGTCAACGTGAGAACATTGCAGCTCCAACAACTCAAAAACTGCCAAGAGATAACTCCAGAACCCACCCCAATGGCTGCATTTCTGGGGTTTTGTTTCTTTGGTTTGGTTTGGTTTGGTTTATGTGTGCTTGTGTCTATGTATACATGAGTTCGCGTGAGTGCAGTGCCCACAGAAGCCCGAAAACGTCAGATCCCATAGAGCTAAGGTTCCGGGTGACGGTGAGTTGCCTGACGTGAGTACTGGAAACAAGTTCCAGACCTCTGTGAAGTGCCCTTCGCCACTGAGCCTGCTTCTTAGCCTCCCACCTGCATTTTAATAAATCGGTGAAAGTTCGCTCATCCTGAGTTATTCTGCTTTGATCCCTGTGTCAAAGTACAAATTATTTAATGAATATAAATCTCAAAGCAGCTGCATTTTGCAGCACTCTGAGGAGAAACACTTAATTAATTGTGGTAGTTTATTGACTTCCAGTTAATAGCTCATATAGGGAGAGGTTTTATGTATTTATCTTCTTCAGTACTGAGTTTCAAATCCAGGGACTTGCATATGCCAGGCAAACTCTCTACCACTGAAGTATACCAGTCTTGGTTTACTGTAGTGTTTTTGTTGTTGTTTTGGGTTTTTTTAAATTTTATTGTCAAATTTTATGTGTGTATTTGTGTACGTATGTGTCTGTGTGAGTATTTGTACATGTGTGTGTGCATGAGTATGCACCAGTTTCTGCTCAGAGACCAAAAGATGGTGTTGGGTGTCCTCTGTCTCTCTCAGGGGTCCTCTGTCTATCACTCTCTGCCGACTGTCTCTCTCTCTGAACCCCGGGGTCTTCTCAGCTAAGCTTGAAGGCAGCAAGCCCCAGCCGCCCTTGTGTCTCTGCCCCCTCACAGCTGAGGTTACAGAGTTTGCAGGAACACCCAACTTGTTTCGCGGGCGCCATTACATTCTCCTCACACTCTGTGATCCCTTTGCTCTTCCCAACTTCCCAATCCACCCCTCTCTCCTCCTCCAATGGCTGCTTTGATTTCTGGAGGTGGGTTACTGTTTTTTTTGAGAAGCCTCACTGTGTAATTCACTCTGTTCTGAAACTCCCAATCCTCTTGCCTCAGCCTCCAGAGTTCTGGGCTACAGTTCTGAGCCACCACCACCTGGCTTCTGAGTGTATTTTAATTCACAATAAGATGAAATAAAAGGAATGCCGGGACATTACTGGTACAGTCTTGTCAACCAGAGGATAAGAGTGTTTTGCAAGGAGTTCCAGCTTCTGGTAAGGATGAGATCAGGCCAGATTCCTTGAATTTAGAGAAGCTGCGTGTAGAGCTTGTTCCTTAGAGGTAGGGGAGTCGGGGAAGTGAACTAGGCTTGTTTTGGCCTGTTCCCTTTGGTCAGACAGATGCACAGCAGCCCACAACAGGCCATTGTTATGAGAGGCAAAGAGAGCCAGCAATTTGGTCTTTGCTTTTTACTTTTTACTTACGCTCTTCTGCTTATGTTTTAAAATCTCTTTTAGTTTCAAGTCAGCACAGTGGAAGATACTTTTATCCTTTTAAAAATGCTTTTTTTATTCATTCTTTGAGAATTTCATTCAGCATGGTTTGATTATATTCACCTCCCACCCCTCTCCCTGGGAGATATTTTCAGCAAACATTATCTCTGCCCTGAAGGAACTGTCAGCTAAGGAAGAGAAGTAGGAGGAACCCTGGAGAAATACCCCTAGACTAAGTTTCCTCCGGGAGGTGTGTAATCTTGCTTCCCTCTCTGCCCACAGAATCCAGTATGAATTGCTTAGCCCTTGCCTTCCTCTGGACTGGTCACCTCTAAACTGCAGCTGGCTCTGGCCCCCATGCCTTACTATTTTTTTGTTTGTTTGTTTGTTTGTTTCATTTTTGGCAAGTTCTGTAGATCAAACTCAGGTCTTGGTACTCCAAAGGCAAGTATATCATTGAGTCCTACCTGTCTCTCTAGGCCTTCATAAGGTCACCTGCCTCGCTTGTCCTTTCAGCCTGCTCCTGCCTACACCCTGTGACAGAAGGTCCTTACAGCACCCCCACACTCCCACTCCCACCTCCCACCCCTGGAAGAGGTGAAAGGAAAGCTCTGCCCCACCTGCTGAAGTGCCTGATCACTTTATTCTTTACATAAAGAGAAGTTTGCTGCAGGGAATGAACAACAGCTAGCCAGTGAAAATGGGATTGCCCTTCCACCAGAGCGGCTGCTCAGCCTAATTTGGTAAGTGTTTCTTTCATCTCCATTGTTCAGGGTTAACTGTGCAGTTTGTAGATCGCCCGTCTAGGTCCCTTTATCCTCACTGGCCATCTGCCTTGCTTCTCAGTCATTTAGAAAGTATTTTAATAACGCCTTTGCCAACAAAAAATAGAGAGTGGCATTACTCTGTCTAAAAGCCTACATCTTGTTTACTGTGCTTATCTTATAATATTTTATAAAATTTTAATAGGGCCTGCAGTACACATCTTCTGAAAGTGGCAGAGCCACCCTGCAACAAGGAAGAAACAACTGGAAAAACAACAAAATGTAAGAAAATGTTCTTTGGAGGCACTAGAGGAAATTATAACACGGTTTAAAAAAAAAAAAACGGGGCTAGGAGTGGGGAGATGGCACAGGTGGAAAAGGGCCTGACTTAGACCCCAGGAACCCACAAAACAAGTACTGAGTATGTGACTGACCAGCCTAATCCAAGAGTTCCAGGCCAAGTGAGAGACCCTGTTGTCTAAAAAAAACAAGGTGGATAGTGACCACGGAAGACACTGGAGGTTGACAGGTTGACTTCTGGTCTGGACAAACACACACACAGAACTACAGCACTGCAGTCCAGGGTACAAACCATCAAGGAGTGTCTGACTTTAGGGTCTCTATTTTCCCAGGACGTCTTCTAATTCCTACTGAGGTGCTACAAAGGTTGCAAAGCTGAGTAGATGCTTGACAGCCCTATGAGTGGGCCTACAGTGAGAACCCTGAAAACCCCAAGCCTTTATCCAGCCATTTAACCATATTTAATCTATTTGTTATTATGCGTGTGCATGATGGGGGACACACATACCACTGCTCACCTGTGGAGGTCAAAGGACAACTTTATGGAGTCTGTTTTCTCCTTCTACCTTGATGTAGGTTCCAGGAATCAAACTCAGGTTGCCAAGCTGCACAACTATGGCCAGACACTGTTGGGCAGGTGATTCAGGGGAGGAGTTGGGGGGATGCTTGGCTCACAAAGCTCAGTGACGATACTCAGGCTCAGTCATTTGTGCCCTGACTGTATGACATGCCTGCATTGCTGAAGAGCTCTCCTAGGGAGCCCCCCAAGGGTGGTGGACACCATCCAAACAAAGGCCCGTGGAAGACATCTCCAAGGACATGCTGTTTTCTTCCTAGCCATGGAGGACTGGAAAATTGCTGATGTAACATGAGAGAAGGAAACCATTGCCCTCTGGGGTAGCCAGGAAGGCTATGAGCAATGGTCTTCCCATTCATTTGGCATGGTAGTCTGAAAACAAAGCCAGATGATTTGCTGAAACCACACAAATGGCGTCCGGCCCACTTGCCCATGTAGACTGTGTTCCCCTCTGAAACGCATAAGCTGATCCTCTACCATCTGCATCTCTCTCAGCACTACCGTCTTCCAGGCTCCTGCCAGAACAGCCCTGCTAACTGCAGACCGCCTTTAGCCCTCTGCACTGTCCTCTAAGTGCCAACAAGGTCACGTTCTTCACAGCAGCAGCCCACTCAGTGCCACTGGCTGCTGTCTTAGTCAGTTCCCTGTGATAAAACCCAGTGACCAAAAGCAACTTCTGCAGTAAAGAATTTAGTATGGCTTACAGTTAATAATATGAGTTACAGCTCATATCCCTTACAGAGGGATATGAGTCCATCACAGTGGGGAAGCATTGACAGAAGCGCCAAGCATGATGGGAGGGGCAGGAAGCTCGAGAGCTCACTTTTCAAGCACAGAGTGAACCCGAAGTAGGGTGAGGCTAGAAACTCTCAAACCCACCTCCAGGGATGTATTTCCTCCTGCAAGGTCAAACCTTCCAATCACCCCAACCCCCAAACAACAATGCTAGCTGGGGACCAAGTGCTCAAATACGTGAGCCTATGGAGGACATGTCTAACTCAAACCACTAAGCCACGGTCTCTGATCTGAAGAAGAGCATATCCTAGATGGTTTCTAAGGGAAAGAAGTCCATTTAGTTCCTGGTTCTAGGTGCTGGACTCCCAAGACAGGACAGCCACTTGTACAAGGCTGGGCACCGCACCATGGAGAGTAGAAACACAGAAGGCCAAGCAGATGTTCTCAAGCGTGACAAAGCTCAAGGAGTGACCTCACTCCTTGAGCTTGTCAGCCCAGCAGGGAGGCACTGGTCCTGCTGAGCAAGTCAGTCACCTCCCAGCACCTCCATAGGGGCAGTCAACTTTTAGCCTGAGTTCCAAGGGAACCAACCCTGTTCAGATCGGAGCTGATGAAAGCTGTTCATGGTAAGATATGCCTGTCTTCTAGTGCTCTGGAGGCAGAGACAGGAGCATCTGTTTAAGACCATATTTGAAGGGGCTGGAGAAATGGCTCAGCAGTTAAAAGCACTGATTGTTCTTCCAGAGGTCCTGAGTTCAATTCCCAGCAACCACATGGTGGCTCACAGTCACCTCTAATAAGATCTGGGGCCAACTTCTGACCAGCAGGGACACATGCAGGCAGAACATTGTATACATAATAAATAAATAAATATATCTTAAAAAATAGGGAGTCCCAAGCCAGTCTCAGCTATGTAAAACCCTGCATAAGGCAGTAACTAAGGCTACAGCTTATGGACCAAAGCCACACGAAGGCCATATGTTTGTCAGCTTTTCTGGGTTACTCAGAAAAGCACAACTTTTCCTTTTCTTCTATCACTTTTCCAAGTATGCTTTCCTGAACACTTTGTGCTTTCCCTGCCCCGACATTCCCGGCTCCCTTACCTTCTCTCCAAAACTCCCCTCCCTATCATGTAGCTGCTTATCTACCATGTGTCTGACTTATGCCAATTTAAATGACATGACTTTTCCCTTTCTCTCTTCCATCGTCCTCCTCGGGGCAGCAGCTGAGATTTCACTGTTTGCCTGCCCTGCGGTTTTTCTTTTAAATGCTAATAAAATTGCCCTCGTGCATCTGACAGCACCAATAAAAAAACATACTGAGTACATTGGTTACTTTTTCTGTTGCTGTGGTAAAAACACTAGGACCAAAAGCAGCTTAGGGAAGAAATAATTTATTTTGGCTTATGGTTCCTGAGTGGGAATCCATAACAGCAGGGGAGACATAGTGGCAGAAGGCTGGACTGGGAAGCAGAGAGACCACACCTCCAAGTGCAAACACAAAGCAGGGAAGCTAGACGAGAATGGGAGGTAAAACTACAAACTCTCAGACCTGACCCGCCCACGGTGACGCACTTTCTCCAGCAAGGAAATCTCTCCCAACAGTACCTCTAACCAGGACCCAGGTATTCAAATCCGTGAGTCCGAGGGGGACAGTTCTCATTCAAGTCACCGCAGCAAATGCTTCCAAGCGGTAAGACAGCTGAGGGGAATCCCTAAGTATAGCACAGAACTTTCTAGTTAATTATCTTTGAGATTCGGAACAATAAGGAAGATGCTCTCAAGTTGTGGAAGGCTTCTGGGCCTCAAGAGTGAAGATTTAAATGCATACAAGGACAACGGTGCATCCTCAAGCCTGGCCTATTGAGTGACTGCTTAATAATAAATGCTGGCTATCTGATTACAAGTGCTAGAAGTTTTTGTAAGTTAAGTGCACCCGCCAAGAGGGACTTTTATAAAGAGCCTGGCATGGACTGAGGGACTCTCATCACCTATTCTAAGCCGTAGAGAAGAAAGAAAAACAGCTTTGGGAAAACGATCGTTAGGCCTCCACCGATACGGTATGATTTACATTTCTCTAGGGTCCTGGTTTCTGGAACTTTCCAAAGACTGCATCTTCTTTTCTGGGCACAAGGTCGCTACTTCCTTTCTGAATCTATATGGTTTATGGCCCATCCACACACATGGTCAGAGCAGTAACCTTCCAGTGCTGAGATGCCCTATGTGGGCCAGCCCGGCCTTCTAATTCGGTGCAGAGGTCAAGATCAGAACAAATACAGTTGCTATGGCATCCCTAAAAATTGCAGAGCAGTTTCAGAGAAGAGGATAGGACTCGAGATGTGGGAGTCACTGCGAGGCAGGAGAGTGATGGGCCAGGGTGGGCCAGGATGCTGTGTGTGCACCTCAGAGGACTTGCAGCTTTCTCTGAACATCCACAGTGCCTGACTCCGAATACACTGATATACCAATTGTTCCTTAGACCTGTGTCTCCCCACATATGCTACAAGTTACTGAAGGACAGAAAGAAGTTTCCAATCCTATTCATATCCCCAAGTGGCCAACAAGGTCCTACTTATGATAGGCTAGATATTAGTTGTCACTTGTCTCCTTGGAGTGACAAAAGAAACCTAGTGTTTGAGGTATAGTTACTGTTGCTGTGACGGAACACCAGGATCAAAAGCAACTTGGGGATGAAGGGGTTTATCTGGCTTACATATTCCAAGTCACAGTCCATTGAGAGAAATCAGAGCAGCAACTCAAACCTGGTGGGAACCTGGAGGCAGGAGCTGATGCAGAGGCCATGGAGGAGTGCTGCCTACTGGCTTGCTTCTCATGCCTTGCTCAGCCTGCTTTCTTATAGTACCCATGTCCACCACCAGATGGTGGACAGCACCATCCACCATGGAATGGGTCCTCTACCATTAATTACTAATTAAGAAAATGCCCTTCAGCCAGATCTTATGGAGGCATTTTCTCTCAATTCTCTCCTTTTAAATAACTCTAGCCTGTGTCAAGCTGACATAAAACCAGTCAGCATACTTAGAAAGGAAGGAAAGAAAGTTTATTGAAATGGGATGTCCTTCTGTATATGTGTTACTCTTATTGGTTAATGAATAAAGCTATTTTGGCCTATGGCAGGGCAGAATATAGTCAGGCTGGAAGAGAGAGAGAGAGAG